AAAAAAACATAGGTAATTATTTAGGCCCCTGTTTTAGGTGCTATTGCAAGTCTCAGAACATACAATCATATCCCCTGCAGATGGGCTGGATCGCCTGTAGCCAATAACACCCACGGCAAAAATGTCCGAAGCGGCCGAATAGTTGCCATCGTAGGCCTCGACAGAGAGGGATGCTTCCTGACTAACGGGAAGGGAGCTGGTTGTATACAACATGTACCCAAATAGAACGTATATACTTTGGCCTGAAAGTAGTCCCTAATTAAGTACTTTGGGGCCATAGTGTTTATATTTTGGCCTTAGAGTAACCCCTATTTAGGCACAAACCCCTAAACCCTGAACCCCGAAACCCTCAACCCCCAAACCCTATACCCTAAACCACGAAAGCCTAAACCCCTCAACCCTAAACCCCTAAACCCCTAAACCCCTAAACCCCTAAACCCCCAAACCCCTAAACCGAAACCCCAAACCCCTCAACCCTAAACCCCCAAACCCTAAACCCCTCAACCCTAAACCCCTAAAGCCCTATAAACCCTAAACCCCAAAACCCCAAACCCCGAAATCCTACCCCTAAACCCTAAACCCTAACCCCTAAACCCCGAAACCCTAAACCCTCTACCCTAAACCGTGAACCCTGACCAGGACCCCCTCTTGGAGTCTGGGTTAGGAGCTCGCATGGCAGCCGGAGTCCTGATGAAGAGCCAAAGCCACAAGCCGACCTTAACCCAAACCCCAAAACCCGAAACCCTAAACCCCCGTTTAGGGTTTAGGGATGAAAGGGTTTAGGGATTAGGGGTTTAGGGGCTTAGGGAGTTTATGGTTCAGGGTTTAGGGTTTAGGGAACCGAAACCCTAAACCTCTAAATCCCTAAACCCTAGACCCCTAAACCCCAAACTGAACCTATCCCCCTAACCCTGCGGGTCCCCACGAGTGAAGACATGCTAGACTCCCACGAGAAATGCAAGACAAAAGAAGCCTAAAGTCAGGGCAACAGGGTTTAGGGTTTAGGGCTTAGGGTTTAGGGTTTAGTTGTGGGTTTAGGGTTTAGTTATGGTCGCAGTGCCAAAACTTGCAGGGGCGTGGCCTTGACAATCTGGCTTGTGGCAAGGCAGGGACCTTCATGAGAGCAACTGAACGAACTGGATTGGGCTGTTTGGGGTGTAAGAACACCAGGACTATAAGGGGATCCTATCAACTAGTTTGTTCCGACCCCTGAAATCGCCTTAATACTCAGAATATAGGCGTGCTGGTGGTAGATATCCTATCACTCTGTCGGAATGTTTTTCTTCCCTTTCGTCTTGGAGTTCGTCTTACTTATAATGCTCGTCTAGCGAGGTTCTTCTCGCTGCGCTGCACCGCAGCGGTCAAAGCGCTGCGGCGCTGCAGTGGCAGAGGCATCAACAGCGTACGTTTGCGCAAAGGCCGGAAGCCCCCTTTTCACATCATGAGAAGCGTACCACCGCATCTGCAGGATGTATACTTGTGCAGGGACTGGCAGACCGACACGCGATGAGTGAATCTGAAGAAAGGCTACAACAACACTACGAAACTGTCTACCCTGGCGCGGCCTCTTGGGCGATGTACTGGTCAGTTCCCAGGACATCCTGCGCTGATCTTGGGAGGGGGGATGGCTAGTGTAGCGGCCTCTATAACAATTAGAATGGGGTCTTGGGCTCCTAAAAATATTATATAATATATCGTCTATAATATATAGTCTATAATATATAGTATATAATTATATACTATACTATATATAATACTATAATTCTAATCATAGGGAACCCTAGGCTTCAGGATGCGAGGTGCCTCCACTTTTGCACCCGCTCGAAATGACTGTGCAACCTGCGAGAACCCTAAACCCTCAACCCCTCAACCCTAATCCCAAACGTTCAAGCCAGTTCTGAACGCCGCCCTGCCTTAGCCTTCTTCGGAGTCTGGGGCTGCACGGTCTCCACGGTATCGAAGTCGATGAGCTTTACCTCCGATGGACAGTCACCCAAAAAGTCCTGCGTCCTAAGTACAAAACTAGGTCTAAAGATAAGGTTCTAATTATGACTGTACCTGTACATACTTACAACCTCAAACAAGGTGAATCACTTACAACCTTGTTTATGAAGTCCCCCGATCCTCCAAATATCTACATAGCGGAAAGTAGTGTTTCTATAGTAGGACGTACAGTTATTCCTTGTGTCATGGCGTAACCATGGCGGCACGTTGGTTTCACGGCTGGCAGCGAGTGCTTTATCTGGACGCGACGCGGTGGTGGGCTTCTATGGGTCCAATGGGTGTGGGCTTCTACATCACTGCCACGGTATGGGTCCGATGTGTCCATCATATAGGGGCCTCAATAATTACCTAATTATATTATGTTGGGGGATTCCCTTTAAAACAGTAGTATAAAGGACCCCCCAAACCCTATTCTAATGATTAAGGCCTCTTTTTTATCATACGGCTGTGGAGCATGCATCCCCACCGACCGGGTATTTGAAATGCTTTGTTCTCCAGGCTTTGGTGCAGCTCAGGTCTGTCAACGCTGATAGTCTCGAGGTTGAGGTCTCTGTGCTCTGCGCGCATGTCCACCATGCTCTTCAGGGTTTAGGGTTTAGGGCTTCGGCTACCTTACCTAGAAGGACCCCAATGTCACAGATAGTCTTACCCTAAACCCTCAACTCTACCGAAACCCCCCAAAAGTAGGTAAACTCATGGCCGAAAGCCCATTTTTTAAAAAACTATTGTTCTACATACTTTTGGGATTCAGGTAAACCCTAAACCCTAAACCCCAATCCCTAAACCCTCAACCCTAAACCCGAAGCCCCAACCCACAGATCGGCCTTCACTGGCGACTGGTCGCCACCCATGAAGCTGGCCCAGTCTACCTTGGCATTCGCTGGCGGAGTCCTGCACCGAGATCTCGGAGATTCTTAAGGGCGAGTTAGGGTTTAGGGCTTAGGGCTTAGGTTTAGGGGTTAGGGTTTAGGTTTGTTGTTTTGAGGGCCTTTTCTGCAGCGAATCCACAGAGTTAGGGTTTAGGGAAGCAGCCACGGGCTTTTGCAACAGCACACCCCGCAATGCTAGCTACTACTGGTGATGGCTTCTTCTGCTGCCTCCGCGACCGCTCCAAGCATCGAGCGATTGTAGCGGCAGCAACAACAGTAGATGAGTAGCTCTCTAAATCAGGTTCCCTCTTAAGGTCCCCAATATAGTACGGCACCCTTATCAAAAACGATCCCAGAATGGACCCCAATTTAGAGAACTTCCCAGATGCCAGTGGTAGCAAAGTAAAGCTCTGAAGCTGTCCTAAACCCTAAACTCTAAACCCCTAAACCCCTAAACCCCCAAAACACTAAACCCTAAACCCTAAACCCCTAAACCCTACCTAAACCCTACCCCAAAGTCAGCCTCTTTAAGTTAATTACCATAAATGGGCATCTATGTTTTATATATTTATATATATTATGGTTTCTGTAATATGGTAACTTAAATTAAATCCCTAATCCCTAAACCCTAAACCGTTCCCGTAGCAAGAACCCGAAACCAAAAGGGTTTTGGCGGGATTTAGGGGTTTCAAGGTTTACAAGGTTCAGGGCTTTATGGGGCTCGTAGTTTAAGGCTTAGGGTTTAGGGTTTAGGCTGTCATGCCAACCCAGCAATGCAAAGTGGAGTGCGAAGCAGCAGAAAATGGATTCCTACACAAGCACATCCAGCTGCAAAGTCCTGTCAAACATGATGTTCTCCAGCTTCAGGTCCTGGCGAGATTGACTAGGTTCCCCAGTACCCCTTAATAGAGTCCTTAATAATAAGGGTACCCTTTTTCCTACTGTGTGGTTTTTAATAAAGGAACCCAAAAAGGAAAAAGGGCAAAAGGGTACTACTGGGGAACCATTGATCAGTGACATCTTGTAATGGGGGGGTCGAGGCTGCAAGGTAGCAAATCGCAGAATCCATTCCCGGCTCTTAGAACATACCTAAACTAGGTTCCTGAGTCACCCCTATATAATAATAAGGGTGCCTTTTTTCCTACTATTGGGTCTCAAGAAGGAGACCCCAAAACAAAAAGGGCAAAAGGGTAGTAAACCCTAAACCCTAAACCATGTACTTCTACAAGGTCTTTGTCACAAGCGTAGATCCTAAAGCCTGAACGGGTCTTGGGTTGAAATCTTGCATTGGGGATTTTTGGTGAGATGGGGGTTGAGGTATAGGTTGTTATGGTTTGGGTGCTAGTATGTGGTGCAAGGTTAGAAAATTGAAATGGTCATTGCTAGCTGATTCTCCCTACTTTTGGGGGTTTACTGCTTGGAAGACACACTTAACAGCTGCGGGCCTTGTGGATGCAGTTGCGAGCGTGGAGCTCTGCAAGAGCCTTCGAGACAGCGATTCAGGGAGTATGGGGTTTAGGGTTTACGGCTTAGGTACGACGTCGGAAGGATTCAGGCACTTAGGACTTGCATGTGTCTCTTGAAGGGGCAACTGGTTGAACAAATGTATGTGTTGTAGTTGCTTAGTTTCCTGTACTCTCTCCCGCTCTCTCGCTCTCCGTGACTATTGCGCTCCGCGCACATCACCGCTGGCCATTTCTTGTGCATGCGAAGCATCCTTGATGCATGTACTTGTAGACCTGTGAATACATACACTGGGAAAAGGTGGGTGTTAATTATATGCCTTCACACACCTATACATGCGTGCGGGTTTGATTGATGACTTCTTCCATAACCCTCCCTACCGATATGTGCAAACAGATCTTCTCTTCTCTTGCAAAGCTTTCAGCTGACCCTAAACCCTAAACCCCTAAACCCCTAAACCCTAAGCCTCTCCTAGGTCCTAACCCTCGCCTCAGTTCAGCACGAAATGAAAGCCCTGTGCCCAAGACCCTAAACCTCAAACCCTAAACCGTGCGGCCCATCAGCCGTGCCAGAACCACCCCGAAACATCCTTTAGCTCCAAATTTGCCTGTGAACCCAAACCCTGAAAGCAGTCCTGTATGCACCTATAGTCCCTAGTAACTTAGAGCATAATCTACACCCTTCGAAACTCGCTGATTTCGATTGATCTTCTGTGTGGGCGTCATGGATTAGGATCTGGTCCGACAAGCTTCAGGAGCTATGTCAACGAAACGCAGGAAGGACCCCTGGTGTCCCCTGCCCTGAATTCCTCTAATTCCTCTAAACCCTTTACATCCTGGTCCCTATAACCCTAAACCCTGAAACCTAAACCTTAAACCCTGAACCCTAAATCCTGAACCCTGAACCCTAAACCCTAAAGCCCAAACCCCAAAGCCCCACAGACGCCCTACTATAGGAGCCTGAGTCGTTGAAATAGGGCTTTCTTTGGGGGGAGGGGGTATATTTTAGATTAAGTGCAAGAAAGAAGCCGAAGGAGTAGTATTAGGCTTCTATATGAAGCAGCAACTCCTAATTCTGGTGTCTTGTTGAGGAATTTAATCTAAGTTGCCACAATGCGGAAACCATACGAGTACCATCGAGCCCTCACAACTACGGTACCTTAGATTCCTCATTAACAAGAGAAGAACCCAGGAACACCCTAAACCCTTAGAGTAGCCCGCAGCGCTCCTTTTTCGGAAACTAGAGCCAACCCCAAAAACCCCAAGAGCCCAAGAGTAGGCAAAATAATGGCCCAAAACCCATAAAAGGCTACTGTTCTACATACTTTTTCCAGGTAAACCCCTAAAGCCCTAGACCCTAGTGAACCCTTCACAGGAACCCTGGGCAAAGTAGCCTGGAGCAGCTGTCGCATGACCTCCTTCACCTCAGCAATGGGTAGCAAACCTGGCCGAAGCACAACTTGTCGTCCTACGGCTAGGACCCTGCAAAGAGTCCATAGAAAAAAGGTTACAGACAGGGGCATTGTGGGGGGGGCTTTAGGATGGGGGCTTTACTAATTCGAAGAGGGTTTGAGGGTAGGTTAGGATACCACAGGCATACAATGGGTAGCTAGACTGGCGATGGACTTCTTCTCGTCCTACTGTTGCTGAGTTTAGGCATTCCGGCTCTAGGGCTGGCGCTTGAGGGTTTAGTAAGGGTTTGGGGTTGATCGGCTCCTTACGAAGTAGCACAGAAGTTGAAGGCGTCCCGTGCTTCCGGTTATTCACAGGCTAGGCTCCTGAGTGACCCCTAAATAATAACAAGGGTGCCCTTTTTCCTACGATTGGGTTTTAAGAAGGAGACCCCAAAACAAAAAGGGCAAAAGGGTACTACTCGGGAACCTAGTAGGGATCTTGATGGTAAGGATCTTGAGACACATCTCGACCCCGACACTTCACCCGAGATCAAGCCAGGGTCTTCTAGATTTGGGAGCATTGACACTGGTCCTTAATTAGTTGTTGAGTTCATCAGCAAGAAATTTCAACTTTTCAGATCTATATGGGCTGAGAGTATGCCAGTGGGTGTGCAGTCTACTCATTTAGCTACTGACCTCTTCTCATGGAGCATTTGGAAGGCGGCGTGGGGCTCCCTTCACCCTGCCTTTGCCCGTCATGGTCTCGAAGAGATCCTCTGCACAAGGGGGACTGTAATGTAGGAACTTGATTGAGAAACGCTGATATAAAGGAAACTACAGGTGGGGAGGGTATATAGGGCTCCTGTAAGGTATACAGACCTTCTATAAGGCCCCTATAACGGTAACTACCCACCTGAAATTGTCCGAGTAAACCGGGCCCTTTGACACCAAAATAGTGTGATCCATGCAAAGTACCCTAATAAAGACAAAAGGATTCCTCAATCAGGTCCTAACGATCTTATGGGGTTTAGCGTTTAGGGTTTAGGGGAATCGAATTATAACTCCCAAGACAGCTTCTCTTGTCTTGTTCGGCTGTCGTATCCTGACGGCATTGAGGGGGAACCTTCACGCGAGACTCCGAATGACTGCTGCTGCAAATCGTCAGCATTGCTCGTCTTGCTCCATACATATCGAAAGCTAACAGCATGATCGTGCACTTGGGTATGGGGCAGCAGGATCTGCCGTACAATGCCGCACAAGTGCTGCAACAGCTTGTTGAATTTGTTGACAGAGAACTTTGCGGGATTCGAAACAGCAAGTTGCTCCTCGACTCCTCGGCCAATACATACATACATACATACATACATACATACATACATACATACATACATACATACATACATACATACATATATATATGTGTGTATATATACACACACATACATACACATGGTTTTCTCTAGATCTGGTTACAAGCTCCCCGCAAGCACCAGAACCGCGTCCCTCCAACCTGCCTGGCCGGCCACCTTCTCCATGATGACATAGTAGCCCTTCTTATCCTCCAGCACCTCACAGGGCGGCTTTTACCCTAAACCCAAAACCCTTTGAAATGTATATGTCGGCCCCAAGACGCTGCGGAAAGCTCGAGTTCAAGGTTCTTCTGTTCACCTCTGCGAAATTGAATCAAACTTCCCAAGGAAAGACACAACAAATCGGCACATGCAAAACACAAAACCCTTAAATCCTAGCTTAGAGCCAACAGCGCGAGTTACTCCTCAAGTCGCCCGCTCCTGAATCTACGATTGGGAGCTTCGCAGCGGGAGAGAGCTGCATCAGAATCCCAGACCTGGTTCCCTGTTGGGGCTATGTTAAAAATGATTGGGTTTCATTATTACCCAAATGAAAAATTGTAGCCGACAAGGATCCAGAGACGGGTTTCGAGGTTCAGGGGCATAGGGCGCCAGAAACACTCCCTGGCTCTTGGAAGGGAATGTTGGAAAATGAACGAGGCTACTAGGAGACCTTACAGGGAAAATCCTAGGGATCCATACCCCCCCTTTCATACTAGGAGCCGGGTGGAATGTGCGAGAGATGCACATCTCCTCCTCCAGCGAAGCCCTGTGATCTAAGATAAACTGACACTCTCCATGGGGGCTTAGGGTTAGGGATATGACGCAACCCCCCTAAGAACTCCAAACCACTCACCAAACCCCACGCCCTAGGCAGCTTCATCCTCGCGGCAATCACACTTGTCTTAACCCTAAACACTCAACCCTAAACCCTAAACTAAACCCGAGGCCCTAAAAAAATCCTAAACCCCAAACCCTAAACCCTTCGAAGCCCTAAAACCAAAAAATGACGAGGCCTCGTAGAGCTTAGCGATGCCCTCGGTCTCAGGGAGGTTCAACATGAACTCCGTGTTATAGCGCCACTCCTGTCATAAGGCAATTCCCTGGGGCTCCAAATAGCCCAAAGCAGGTACTATTTGCAGACTTTAGAACCCAAAGTAGGTAATATTTGTATGCTTGGAGCCCTAGGGATTGGCCGAGCCTGAAGATCCACACGGTTTTGAGGGGATTTGCGTCAGGAAATCATGCTGTTGATGATCAAAACCCTGCATTACCTCAAGGACCCTGAACTATGGATTCCTTGTTATGGCTAATGCAGGATTTATATCATCAACCGTGGTAAGGCCTGGACAGGTATAGGTTATTCGGGGTTAATGTAGGAACCTGATTAAATTAAGAAGCCCTGGGCCTTTATTAGGGCTCTTGATCTGAACCCTAATATATTGGGTTTATAGGGCCAAGGTTTCTTAATCAGGTTCCGACCCTAAACCCTAAACCCCCCTACATTAAGGTAGCTGCCGAAAAGCCGGACGCTCGGACAGAGTCGTCTTATTTCACTTGAGGGCTTGGGGTTCAGGCCTTCAGCTGCTTGGCATTTCAATGTAGTGTAGGGGCCTTAACAATTAGAATCGGGTTTTGGGGCTGTATTGTGCTATATAATTATAGTAAGGAGACCCCGAAATAGTTAATCTAGGCTGTATTCAATCGTTTGAGCTAACTGTTCTATGCTATAGCTAGGCTTACCTTGGCATTGGCGCAGAATCTGGATTCGTCACTAGCCGCTAGCCGGTGTCGAGATGGTGCGCATTGTGCTGTTCATTTGCGACATACTTGCTACACAGGCATACACAAGCGACTGTGGAGAGTTACGTGAAGAACTTTCATACAATGTGCCTGTTCCTTTTGCCAGCAGTGGCGTAAATGGCAGACTTGTCGATCTCTCCGGGCAAAGTCTACTAGGTTCCTGAGTGACCCCCAAATAATAAGGGTACCCTTTTTCCTACTATTCGGCGTTAAGAAGGAGACCCCAAAACAAAAAGGGCAAAAGGGTACTACTCGGGGACCTAGTCTATGTAGGCAGACATGCCAGCAGCACGCGCTCTTCTGTGCGGTCACAGAAGGAGTTGGCTTTCGCGCGGACCTGGACAACGGATGTTCTGTGCCTGTAGGAGAACGCTCTCACAACACAGCCATCCACAGATGTACGGCGCTAAATTCAGTTGCACTGCAACTCCAATGCCGTAAGACCAAAAAGCACTGAATCCACCAGAATTCTACAACATACCCTATGGTCTTTGAAGCCTGAAACCGGACCTGAACCTCGCATACAAAAAGCATCTCTGGAGCCTGGCGACAGCTACGAGCAACTAAGTAAAACTAGGACGAAGACACTCCGGACCCCAACACATACTCTCCATCCAGATTCGCACAGTCTGAAGTTTCGGGTTTTCTAGGGTTTTGTTAGGTGTTTTGTAGGTGTTTTAAGGGGTTTCAGGCTGCTGGCTCCAGGCTTCACCAAAAAGGAGAGCTCTCCGTGGGATCATGATCTCAGCCTGAAGCCCCTGATAAGATTGATGATATATAAATCCTCAGCAGTACCCCATAATAAGGAGTATACCATAGCTCCCATAGTTTAGGGTCCTTAAGGTAGTGCAGGATTTGAGATCATCAACAGCACTCCTCCCTACGTCCGCAAGAAATGTGAACAAGATTTATGGGCCAGAATGAAACAGCATAACGTATTGATCAACCTGAGGAGTGAACAGCTGGACTTTATGTCCGAAGTATTGTTGACAGAGGATTCCGCTGTGAATGGCATGATAGACATAACATGAATGCCTGGGTTGGGATTTTGGGGGCCCTGAAAAGTATGTATGAATAGGTAACTCTATAGGAACCACAAGGGAATGTTTTTAAAAGTTTCCCGAATTTCCACCTACATGCCGGTATACAGCGTCCGTTCATAGTCCCTTATAACCCCTACATCACACACAGACACATTCAGAGCATAGACTGACAATAGCCCGACCCGACCCGACCCAAAGGCTCCACACCCAGAGAGCCCAATACCCCTTCATTAAGGAATTTACCTTAAATCATCATATTAAGGCCCTTATAATTTTAAGGTATGGTCTTATTATCATTAAGAAATTTGCCTTAAATCATAATATTAAGGGCCCTATAATTTAAAGGTATATTCCTTAATTCCCTTATAGAACCCTTATAGAGACCCTTATAGATCCCTTTAAGGACCCCTATAGTTTTAAGGTATATTCCTTGGGCTCTCTGGGCAGTCGCTTTGGACCTTCACGACAACCTCCAGGCCGTCCTCGATGCCTCAGATTGGGCGTGATCGGTTTCAACTTGAAGTCAGAAGCGCTAAGTTTGGGTTTATAGAGGGTTTAGGGCTTGTAGGGTTTATAGAGGGTTTAGGGTTTAGGGTTTATAGAGGGTTTAGGGTTTAGGGTTTGGGTACAGCTATGACAAAGCAACCCTAAGGAATAGTGGTAAATGTTGAAGCCCTTGCTTTGGGCAGCTGGGTTTGGGGCTGTTCTGGGTTTCCAGTGACTAAGATGTCTAGGTTCCTGGGTGACCCCTAAATAATAAGGGTACCCTTTTTCCTACTATTGGGTTTTAAGAAGGAGACCCCAAAGCAAAAAGGGCAAAATATGGTACTACTCGGGAACCTAGTGAAGAAGCGCAAAATGGGTATTCGAGGGGGCTTCATGAATTACTACTTAGAGTAGAGTGTTGGGGGTTAGCCCTTACACACGAAACTAGAGACACTACTCAGGCCCCTTGACTAGACCAGTACCTTGCATTGTAGCGTGTCGTGGGCAGACCCGTGAAAGGGGCCCGCGCATCAAGTACCACAGTAACAGTTTGTCGGGCAGCGCTGCCACGGATAGCGCTTGAAGGCCAATGCACTCTTTGACGATGCAAGGTGCGAGATGCGAAGTATGAGAAGCTTTGATCCTCAACCCTTTCCAGCCACGTAAGCCATGAGTTCGAACTAGTTTGAAGCTTGCAAGGGGGCCGTTCTCAACGTCTTTCAGGAAGCAAACTCCAACTGTACCTCTCTGAGGATCGTAGCCTGATAAGAAGCATATCCTCCCCGCCCCCCTTATTCCGGTACCAGACTTGAAAAGTCAGCAGGCGCTTGGCGAAGAGGATGGACATGCCGCTGTGGCTTGATGGCATGACCTGAGCGTGGTTTCGATGTCGGGAATGATGGTGATGGAGATGATGGCGATGATGATGGCTACGATGATGGCCATGTTCACGAAGACAATGAACATCACAAAAGTGAGGAGGGTGATGAAAGCAGATAAGGCGGAAGAGGATGTTTAAATCAGGAATTGATGTTGATGATGCTGGCGAAGCAGAAGATGATGAGGCGGGTATTGATGCAGATGATGATGATGATGGACCTGGAGGTGATAAGGAGAATGTCATGGTTGCATCGAGGCAGTCTGACTTGCACTCGAACTCTGACGCCGAAAGTATGTATGTTGGACTGTGCCCGGTAGTATTTGCTTGTTGGCATGGGCCCAGTCGTTGCGGTGACGCTCATTCTCTTCGAGTTCGGGCTCTGCTCTGTCGACCCCGATCTTGGCAATTGTAGCAGTAGAAATCGTGGAGCAGGCTAGGTGCGAGTGCTCTCGAAATCAGGACGACAATCACTGAGGAAGGGGAACTACTCCGATACTATTGTGCCTATCGCTGCTGCTAGTGCTGTCAATCTGACTGCAGGTATGATCTGTCGGCAGCGGTCACTCCAAGTCCACCACAAGTCGAAACTTCTCCGTACTTCTTCTACAGAATCTGTCGTAACAACGATGACAATAGTCATGACAGGGACCACCCCTCTCTTCGTGCGGGTTCTGCAGAGCAGAACACAAAACCGAACATCGTCTTGACGGGGACAAGCGTGGGCGAGAGAAGTCATCAAGGCAATAGCAGCTAGACCCAAGAGAAACCTAGGAATAAAAAGGGTGCCCTTTTTGGTTTAAAGGACTTTATAAGGGAACCTGAACCCTAAAAAAGGGAATACGGGCCTACTCTGGGTCCTAGGCAGGGACTCACTATGATACTCGTCCTTTAGAAAATAGGAGCCCAAACCTAACTAGCCATAATTACTCGACTATTGTTGCTACTTACCCGCTTCAGACTATAGCCATCAACCCTAAAGGACAGAGCACAGAAGGAAGCTCGTTACAGCCATCAAGCCTTTATGCATATCAGCGCCTCCCCCCGCGGTCAGATCAAATCCAAAAATCGAATCTTTCACCGCGCTCGGCGCCCAAAGCTCAATTTAGGGCTTAGGAGTTTAGAGGTTTAGGGTTTAGGGGCTTAAAAAGGGTTTAGGGGTTCAGCATTTCAGAGCTCAAGAGACGAAGTGAGTTGGCGGTGGGTTTAAGGGTCTGAAGTTGAGGGCCTAGCGGAGCGGCGGTCTCTTCATTGTTGGGCCTGTTTGGGAGGTTGTCGAAGGGGCCAGGTTCCAATAGGCTGTATAGGAAGCTCCATGATGGCGGCTACCCATCCTCCATTCCATAACGGGCTACGGTTTAGGGCTTTGGGGGTTCAGGGTTTAGGGTTTAGGGGGTTAGGGTTTAGGGTTTAGGGGCTACCGGGCGTCCGCACGCTTTCCCCAAAGCGGTAGTGGGACTGGATGGAGTCAACGGCTTTGATTCGCCTGGCTTCAAGAACTACCATCCCGGAGGTTTAAGGCATAACAGGGTTTACCTGGGACTCTGATTACCTACAGTTTTATGGGTTCTACCTACTAATTCAGGGGTAACGGCTGCCGAACTGTAGGTAACTAGAGTCCCAGGTAGGGCTCCAGACCTTAATCTCCAAGCCCTTGAACTGAAAACCCGAAGACTGCTGACTCTTTTGGGTTCTGCTGGGTCGTCAAGTTCGGGTGCGATGGCTGCGATGGAGGCAAGGTCTGCGGGGAGACTGTCGAAATGCTGCTGATGCTTTACTTTACCCTATGGCTCCAGATACTTGTATAGTAGGTTACCAGCCATATGATCTGAAGCCCATTAACCCATCATTTAGGTAACGGGAGCCCTAGGGTTAGCCTGTTTTTCAAGACTTGTTGTCAGGCTTTCGACATCGGAAGGTGCCACAAAGCCTTGATAAGGTCTTGTAAGGCTCGATCGGTTCCAGAGAATTGCGCGCTACGAAAGTACCTTTCCGAACTGTCCGCCCGCCCCTGAGACATTCCACTACTACCGTCGAGTGCCTCTTCTTCTTCTCTTTGTTTGGCTCCTTCTTCGTGCTGATGGACAAAGGTGCGGCGCCCTGGCGAGGTTGGCTTTGAGACTTAAAGACAAAGGCCTGCAGAACCACCCCTTAGCCCAAACTCTGAACCCGAAAGGCCTAAACCGTATACACCCCCGAAGCCTAACCCTAAACCCTAAACCACCGACCCTGAACCAAAAAGCGGACACCACGAATCGATATGGGTGGGAGCGGTCTGTAGTAGAAGCAAGGAACACTAATGCATAATATTGGTAATTGTCCAGGCTTCTATGTTAGGGTGTAGGGTTGGTTTCCTTCAATTTAAGGGACTTCTTTACTCATTAAGGGATCGATGAGGGATCTATAAGGGTTTCGGGTTGAGGGATCGAAGGCTCTGGGTGTTTCCGGTTGACCGTTCAGGGGTTGTGGGTTCAGGGTTGGGGTTGAGTGGCGCTGGGTTTGCCGTTTCGGGCTGCAAACGAAGCAGTTTTGCCAACCAGGCACAGCCAGCCTGGCCCGATGCGCCGAGCCATCAACCCTCCCGGAAAGAACCGGAAGATCTACTGACAAGGCCTGGCTCCATGCATGCTCACCAACATGGGGGCTTCCGAAGATAGTGGGCACCAAATCAAACGTTCGGACCCTAAACCCTAAACCCTATACGCTAAACCCTAAACCCTATAAACCCTAAAAACCTAAACCCTAAAACCCTAAACCCTAAACCCTAAAACCCTAAAACGTTTAAACAATTGCCTGGCTTAAAGCTTCCGCATGTCTCAGCGCCATTTAGAGGTCCCAAGGCTCAAGGCTCCAGCCTTAAAACGGGTTTAGGGTTTGGGGTGAATTTTTGTTGTGGAGCTTACTTAGGCTTCAGAAAGTTTTTAGGGCCCT